AAAAAGCTACACTCAGTGCCGAAGTTCAAGCCTGCAGCATTTGAAGCTGTCGAGCTCAGAAGTAATTCTTTAGATTTCTCTAGGCATTTTCATTGTTCCTTACTCATTTTCATTCATTTAGGATAATTGTTTAATTTCTTTCCCTACCAATCCAGAAAAGTTATCCAGTCTTTATTTTATTCATATTTTTCATTGTGCTCCGTTTTGGAACGAATTTTCAAATTTTTGCAGTAGAAACAAACGCACCTCATAAACGACATGATTCTTCATCGGATGAAAATGGTTTATTTTTGCTTGTCTTTGTAATAATATTTCTTGCAATTTCTTTTTAGAGTATAATGAAACTGTGTAATAAAAGTTTCAGATGCAGTTATGTACGTAAGTCTCCAAAAAAAAGGAAAAAAAAAATAGTATCCATAGTACCATTATGTTCACTTTATCTGATCGTGATGTTTAGTCTGTTTAGCCTGGTTTCCTATTTCGATCATCAGAAACGTTGATGAACTCGTAAAGCTGGTACTAACTGAATTTTTTTCCTTTTTTTTTAATATTTAGCAGGTCAAATATTTTTCCAATAATGAATCTTTTCAGTTATCCCAGATGAGATGCCTCTTCCGACTACCAGTTCAGAATTGTGGGAAAGTATTTCAGTCAGGAATAAGGATCATTCTACTGGTCAAAAATTAGTACAACATTCTAGTGCTGATTCAGATGTTTCCTTACCAATTCTTAGGATAAAGGATGAACCACTCGATTCAGATGCTTCTCCACCAAGAAGATCAGCGAATTCTGCAAGACCTGACAACAATAGAAATCAGTCATATTCGAAACGAAAGACAGCAACAGAAAATCTTAAATTAGATGTTTTGCCTGTCAGAATAAAAGATGAGCCAGTTGACTCAGATTTTTCGCCACCAAGAAGAAGGTCAAAAAATTGTACGAAACAAAATTCTGATTCGGACGCTTCACCTCCAAGACGCAGAAAGCCAACAAATAATTCTGACTCAAATCCTTCTCCACCACGTAAATACGATGATTGTGTTAGGATTTCAAATCGTGGAAAAGAACTGGGAAATTATGGGCATCAAAAACGGAGGCAAACTGATGATATCGACTCTTATCAACGTAGAGGAAGTAGCTGGGATTCTGATGCATCGTCACATGACAGAAGCGTTGAAAGAAGGCGAAAGCATTGTGGAAGAGAAGAAGACGAAAGTTCTAGTAGATTACACAGAAGTCATGAAAGTAAGTATTGAGTCATAATTCATGCTGAATATTTTGTCAGACATTCTTGATATCTGTTGATAGAATTCCCTGTCCTTATATGAAATTATTTCATCAGATTTTGACATAATTGTTGCTACGCTAGATTTATCTATTCACATTATCTAATTAGCATGAGGTCTATTACTACTATCGAGAAAATAGTCTTGAAACCCAAGGACTAAACGTCTTAGTTTTAGTGCTCGTAATATTTTTACTTAGTTATTTACTTAGCAGTCATTAAAAAGATACATTTGTTCGTTCGATTTTGTATTTTTATCTGTTCTTAAAGTGGTCCAGAAATTTACAGTTTACACTTTTAAATTACTTAGTAGTCTGATCTTGTTCGACTAGAAATTTGGTTTTACAATCTAGCTGTTAATATATTTATGCAGGAATAAATTAAGCGTATGTGAGTAATTTCTATTACACCGGATATGATAACACTTCGCAGAATATCTAGGACGAAGAGATTCTCCTGATGGTAGGTCATCATATCATAGTAAACGAGATCGATCAAATGAGAGTGCTGCTAAACCGGTGACTGGGAAAAGCGCTGGTCTTAAAACACTGGAAATGCATCGAGAAGAAATGAAACGAATTCGAGAAAATGAAACAAAAGTAAGGACATTGAGTTATTCATTGAAATTTTTTTTTTAATTTCTGTTTTAATTGAAATTTAATGACAAATGTTTTTAACAGATGTTTTAGTTAAACTTCAGTAATGTCCAAAAATACTGTCAACTGGTGCTCACTTAGTTATACTAGTTTTTTTTTTCTTTCATTTCTGTTTTATTTTTCTATTTATTGTTAAAAATTTGATAGAAATTTGAACTCGTATTTCCCATTAAAACTCCAAACTTGTAGTTGCTCGAAAATTGGAAAGAATACACAAGTGGTAAAGATGTGGCAGCTGTTCGTCGTACCAAATTAACTGGTAAAGGACGTGAAACAAGAGAAGATCGTGAAAGAAAGGAACGTGAAGCTAAAAAGCAACAAGAATTAGAGGAGAAATATAAAAATTGGAACAGGGGTTTGCGACAATTAGAAGAGGTTTACTTTACATATATTGTTTTTTCCTTCAGTACCATCATATATGAATATAACCTTAAATACTGTGAAGTTTAACTGAATTCAGTTCTTTTCTGTCTTTGAGAAGTTTTGTTTAGCGGACCAAAAAATTGAATGAAATGGCTCGGGTAGCGCAAGAAGATTTTGCGCGCTGTGTTGATGATGAAGCAATGAATGAACACTTGAAAAAGGTATTTTTGATAATGAACAGATGTTTTCATAACTTTGAATTAACTTGAACTGTACGATCTCCTTTTTTTCAAAATTATTCGATATGAGAATAGAATGTTTTATTCTTTTATATAGGTAATGAAAATAATGAAATGTGAAATAAGATTTTTATAGGTAATGAAAGTAATGAAATGTGAAATGAGATGAATACTTCAACTTTTTCGTTTCTTACATAATTTGGTGATAATAGTGCTTAACCTTTGTATGCTGGAAGTTTTCACCTTTACAGCGTCACCATATGTATTCATCCCTAAGTAATTAGGAAAAAAAATGAAGAAATAGAATTCAACACTAATCAAGAACTCGAAGTAATATAATATGTGAAATTTTGAATAACGGAAGTATTTTTAGCAACTACACGAAAAAGATCCTATGTATAAATATGTGAAAAAGAAGAAGGAAAATGCTGAAATAAGGAGTGGGACTGGTAAGAATTATACATCGTAATTTTTTTTTTTTTTTTTTGGAAAGCATTTGTATATAGAGATTATTATTTTTCATTTTTAATTCTTAGTTAAGATTTTTATTCCGATTTTGAATGCTATTTTATTTCTGTATTGTAAGATTTTAGACTTGTATGCCAAAATTTATTTGTCGCTTGATAGTTTATTCGAAACCATTTGAATTTTCGAGAATGTTATCATTGTCGTTGTCTTTTGTTTTTTTTTTTAGCATGTCCCAAATACAAGGGAAGTTGGCCACCGAATCGTTTCAACATTGCACCAGGTTATCGATGGGATGGAGTGAATCGTTCAAATGGTTTTGAAGATCGAATAGCTGAAATGGCTAATCGAAAAGTAGCTCAACGTACCGAATACTACGAAAATATTGCGAAATACGAAGTTTAATTTTCGTGATACAAACTGCATTTGAATTTGATATATGAAGCTATTTTTTAATTGTATTATGCAAATCATAAATAGTTTATTAGCAAATGAAAACTGATTACACTGCAATATTAGTAATTCCGAACATTTATAGTCCTTTATGCTACCAACAGCACTATACCCTTTCACTGAAACTTTAAAAAATATAATCTACTTCTATATTCAAATATATCAAGTAGTAATTCAAAAGACTTATTCTGAGCAGTTGCACTTTTTGTATTATTGTGTGCAGTGGTGAGCAGTTCTCTTGTACAAATCAGGAAACTGAAATTCAAGAGATACAAGCCTTTTTCAGTACTATTTCTCCTAGGGCTTCTTTATGTCGCAAACGCATTGATGATTAATGTAATACTCATTAATGACCCTATAACAAACTTCTTTCAGTAAATTTGTTACAACATCACTAAACACTGCACCCCTTTCATGACCAATATGCAGTGAACCAGTTGGAATTGCAGATACTTTTTTTTTGACGCACACGATTACAGATATCATTTTTACTAAAAAGTTTACTTTTATAATCTTTAGTTCCTTCTTTCAACGCAATAATAAAGTTTCTATTTTTTTTTTTCTGTTGATGACAAAATTCATTCTTTGAGGATATAAATTCATCATTTCACTAGAATTAGCTAATTTACTTTTGTAGTCCTTAGTTTGTTAAAGTTAAACTTTTCAGCTTTTTTAAGTATCGCTCTATGTGAGTGCATACATTATTGGCATATTTTGACATTTCTATGTGTACATTTCAATGAACATCAATATTCATTATCTCAATATAATTTGAAGTGTTTTTTATAAAAGGTAAAGTCCAGAAAACTTAGCGATAACATTTCAGAAATTCGAGAGAACTTTTCCTTTATTGTTACAATTGTTGCTACTTTTTTAATGTTTTATTGTCATTTTGTTATTTGTGTAATAACTTGATTTAATTGTAAACAGTCTTCAGTGATATAAAAGTAGGAGTGATTAAACAATGTTAAACAAATATTACAACCATACTTAACGATTTGTTAAACTTAGCTTACAAAAAATAAATGATATGATAACGTTATTCTCTATATATTAACGATGATTTAGCTAAATGCTTATGGATAATAAAAATAGAAACAACTACTGTTTTGTGAAAATATAGATAATGAGTCTTTACTGCTCTTTCTTAATCTTATACTAATTAATTGGATAATAAAGTGTGTGGGACCATTTACTTTACTGTTATGCAAATTTATAGTAGAAAAATTCGTGTCATTAATTGGTTCATTACATTTATTTGATTATTAGTGGTTGTATTTGTAGTGAGGTACAGATTGAGCAATGGAGATGTTGAAGGTGTTTTTTGATTAATAGGAAGCGATATAGAATTAAATTAATGATATAACTTTGTTGCTATGGTGAAATCCTAAGAGATTTATTTTTGAAATTCTTGCAAAAAATTCATACAGGAAGCATAGCTTTGTTTTGTATGATAGCAGTGCTATAAATATAATAATCTTTACTGGTTTAATTCGTGATTTAATTCCTTATTGTTACTAATAAATTGTATTGTTTAATATGGTATTTATCCAGAATGTTTTAGGTAATATAATTTTTCAGAAGCTATTCATTAAAAAATCTGCTGGTCTACATGAAGGGTTACCAGAAAAGGGATCAGCTACAAATAATAAAGGGAATCCTGATTTCCTTTATCATCCTGATAAAACATCCGGTAATTGTCAACGTAATCAGAAACTTCCATCTTCTGATTCCGATACGATACTAAAAACAGCTGTTGATATGGATAAAAATATTGCAAACGAAAAATTGATAACAGCAGGTGATGCAAGCAAATCATCATCTGCTGTTGGTTCCTACAAACGATCACAATCACCGGATACGATGCTAGAGTGTGCAACATCTAACAGCTTTATCAGTGTAAATTTCTCTTCTTTCTTCGTCTAATTTGAACTTTTTCTTTTCTTAAAATTCAATTATCCTTACAATTGCATTTCTTGATATTAATTTATTTACTGTATAGGAATGAGTTAAGTTAATGTTTCCTAATATGCTTTCAAAAATACAAAATACTACCATTTCAGAACTTTTTTTTAAAATACTTCATTGATTACCTTATAATTTCTCACTTTTCGTAGCAAAAGTCTTTTTTACTATACTTGCTTGAATAAGCTGATAAGTCTCTGTTATTATAACAAAAAAATTGAACGTAAGGCCTTAATTTTCTCCTCATTATCTTATCATGTTCACCACTGGATGTTTATTGCAGAATTTATAAAATATCTTGAAATATCTTACCTATTTATTTTCTATTTTATTCCAAATACCTAAATTATAGTTATAACTTAGTTCTAATGTTTATCAAAAATGTATCGTTGATTTTTAGCCTCGATGCAGCCACCAGTCAATTACAGTGATTTCCGACTACAGTTCCGATCTTTCATGTATTAAAATTTTATCTTGTCTTAACATTAAAGTAGCTAGGGTTCGTATTTCTAATGCTTCAATATTGGCTCTTTACTGGCCAGAGGAAAAATCTACACTTTTCCCACTTGGGAAATTGAAGAGATGTCGTTTTTTTTTTTTTTATTTCTGTAAAAAATGGCGAAGTAAAATCTTATTTCATATTCCAGTATAAGCCTTAGAGCATCAAAAATTAAGAAATTGGTATAAACGAACTGAAATGAAGCAGAATAGTTCTCCTGTTAACTGAGCATTAAATCAGGCTTTTTAATCTTTAAGAGCTGACTAATTAATGGCTAAGTAATGTAGAAGTTATACGGCTTATTCATAGTTTGGCTTATTTTTTTCCTTTTTTATTCATAATATCTCAAAATACTGGAATAATTCAATTGCAGTGTCTGCTAGTTACAAATGATTTTGACTCATATGTTGAAAACTGGTAGAAAATAAACCAAGCATATTAGTTATGTAATCTGTTCATTATTCGGAGATTTAATGTGCTGAATGGCCGAATAATCCGGCCAGCTATTTAGAATTCATGAAAAAATCAAATCATTTCACTTATCATTTGATAATTACATGATTCATAATGTTATTTTTGCAACGAGATGTCTCGAATTTTAGTTTTCGGAATGAAAAGTATGATGTCTGTACGCAAATCAAATAATACTTTGGTAGAATATTGGTGGGATTTAACACCTCAGAATATTCATACGATTGTGATCAATTATCTCTATGATAATGATAATGGGCGGTGCAATCAATGGTAATCGTATGCTTCGCTATAGGATTTAAACATTTTTTCTTTTTTGAAGAGGTGTTTTATTTTAATGCTTCAACAGCTGCAGTAGAATTTTGTTATTTGTGTTTTAACTCTATTTCGTTCTTATAATCTTGCTTGACATTAATAAACTTGATTTGACTACAGTTTTTTTTTTTTTTTTTTGTTTGGAAAGTCGGAACATGAAGAGAGTTTTCACATAATTTTAAAACTTTTTAAAAAATTTCCTATTTTTGCTAATTGACTCATAGTGCTGAAAAACTATAGAAGATAATATCTTAATCTCAAATTTTCATTAAACATGATGATATACATTTCAGTTGGACATTTTTTGAAAAGAAATTAGGTATTTCACGAGTGACTGTATTTTACATTTTAAGCGGCATGTATTTTTTATACATTTTAAGTGGAGACCTGGCAAAACTTCTGTATTATGCTATGGTAAAAAATTTTTTTCTCTTTGTTTATAAATTTCAGTTCATATTTTTGATTTTTCGAGGTTAAACTTTTCAAAGAAAATTTTGTTATATTTTCCTCATTTATTAATTTTTCAGGGCGTTGGATATCCTATGTATAAAACACACATTACATTTGAAAATCGTGGACTTGATGCATGTAGAAGTTGGCTTAGGTAAATTGAGTTTTTCTTCACTAGCATTTTGTTATTTAATTGTTAAACATTTAAAAGTATTTAAAATGAATAAGAACCTTTTGATCTTAATTTAAAGTATCGAAGATCATAGACAGTCTCACATAATGTATAAATTATATATGCATGATAAACGATTGTTGGATTATCGATAAGTGTAGTGTTAATTGATTAAGAAATTCATGTTAGAGTGCAGTTATATCTGCTCTGGAAACAAGCCTTCTATTATATTTATTATTATTATTATTATTAATTATTATTATCATTATTATTATTATTATTGTTGTTGTTGTTATCATTGTTATCATTAGTATCAGTATTATCATTATTATTTATTATTTAGCCTTCTATTATGTTATTTATTTATTTTTAATCTATTTTATGCTAACAGTTCAGGTAGTATTATTTACTTTGATAGGATTAGATCAAATATTTAGGAATTATATGTTTAGTTAAATAGATTAATCACGTTTTGTTAGTAACTAATCGAGACATGTGATGCTTCATAAGTTTAATGGATGATATTCTTTTTAATAACTGTTAAAATAACTTTTTGATACTTCCTCAATGAAATTGAATATCAAGAAATAATCTGCTTAATTATTATCATAAATTAGTGGCAATTGAATAGTAGTTTTTATCGGCAAGTGTCGTAGTTTCAAGGAAGCCTAAAATATATGATAGTTCAAACATTAAAAGGACTTTTTTTGATCTTTTTTCTCGATTTCCTTTAGTTTAAGGAATTTTTTCTAAGCTGAAGAATTCTTTTATCCGAAAATTTACAACTGCTGATATTTTCTATAGTATGGGATTTTTTGTCTTATCATTTCTTCAAAGGTTATCATATTTTTTAATGAATTCAGATACTGGATTGTTTTTGGTTGGGTAGCATTATTGGATGTGTTTTTTTATCATTATCTAAAACATTGGACAGTGTATTGGTCAATTAAAGTTATCATTACTACCTATTTATTAATGCCATTAGTCAAAGGAGCTGATTTAATTTATCGTGATTTTATCAAAAATTTTAATAAGAATATCGAACGAAACGTTCGATTTATTATTGGAAGATGATAGGTTGTTTATACATATGTCATACTTTCTTGATAATAAATAAAATAATTTTTGTTTTTCTACATATAATCGGTCTTGCTATAAGTATACTATTAAAAAGTATTCATGTGTCTTTTTTTTTTTTGTTTTCAAAATTAAATTAAAATTGAAATTTTGTCGATTGCAACAGTACTGTAGTTTTGTTAATTTCTCTACATCTTCTCCTTTCAATTGCACACAATAGCTATCATAAATGTAAATCTATATGAATAACTTCAAATTTAATTTCATTCCAATCGGAGCATTAGTAATTGATGCATTATTATATATCAAAGAGAACTGATTCACTAATTATCAGATTAAAAAAATGTTTTAAAAAAGTCAAAAAAAAAGAGACACAGTGTTTATGAAAGTATTTACACTTCACTTAATTTTTTAGAAATTGATAAACGTAAAATCAGTGTAGAATTTCTCGGACGTTTCCATTTTCTCTTTCTCTCTCTCTCTCTCTCTCTCTCCTATTTCTTCTCGCTGCCCTCCTTGCCGGCCCATTTTTCTTTTTCGCTTGAATAACTGACTATATAACAAATCTAAAATAATGTTCATAGCATGTACCGAAATTATACGTCCATCTTTTACAACAAATCAATTTTTCCATTTTCAACTTTGGTAGTAAATTTCTTTTTTCCTCCTCTCTCTCTCTCCCTCCTTCTCTTTCCCTCTTCTCCTCTCTTTCCTTTCATTCTCATCTATCCAAATACATATATATATATATATATATTTGGAATTATTAGCAATAATTTGTCTTTGAGAAAGGAAAATTTACATTTAACATGTAAAATTCATTTCTCAAAAATTCCTAAACTTTATACTATACATTTTCATTTCAGATTATTTCGTTTTTCCTTTTTTTTTCTTTTTAATTTTAATTTGCTGTGCTTTGTAAATGCTTTTCATCCCTATCAGTTTGCTGATGCAATAACATTTCATAGTTACTAGAATTGTAAGCAATTCGCGTGCATTGTTATTGTGTTTCTTTTATTATTGTTATCATTATAACTACTATAGGATGATATTGATAACGATGGATGTTAATGTTGATAATAAATTCTTTTCATATTTAATGGAAACAATGATAATACAACAATTTTGCAACTTTTTGTTTCTTCAATTTTTCTTCGAAAAGTTTTTATTTCATTCTTTCCCTTTGTATGTGGAATATTTTGAAATTTTTAGGATAGCTGAGCTTATTTGATTGCTAACTCAAAGTATATGTTATGTTAAGTGTTTTTACATTCTCAATAATATTGCTATTTCTTCCTTTTCCTTTTCCCTCTTAATGTTTTGCAGGTGTTAATACAACCAGACAAAACGTACAAAGTTTGAAAATTGAAGTGAAGTGAATCGGAGCTTAATTCATATCATATTTCTCTGGTCTACTGCTTTTACTTGTTATTCTAACTCTTTCGCTTTTCTTTAGAGCTTAACGTTTAGTTTGGTGCAATTGTACTATTCGTCCAGTGGAAATTTTTTTTCAAAAACTACTTTACATATAGTTAAATGGTTGGTTTCTTTCTTTTTTTTCTTTCCCTTTCCCTCCAGCACATAAACAATTTGTTATTTCATATTTCATGATGATTCTGCTGTTTTTTTTTTTTTTTTGAATTCAAAATAGAATGATCAAAAAATCATATTTAATATTTACACTTGTTTGTGTTATTTGATATTTCAGGCTAAAATTGAACGTAAAAACATTGATCTTACACCGCTGAAAAAAGCCAATGTTCCTATTTTCTTTATTGTTGGTAAGTTAAAACTATTTCTTTTTAATTGGAAAAAATTAATCATTTGAAAAAATATGGTGAGCGCTCATTTTTACAATTTTTGTTAAATACAATTGTATATTGTTAAATACAATTAATTTACTTTAACAAATAAATCTGTGCTATATCAATCGTAAATTGACTAACATTACCCTTGTCATGCAGTTGTTTTGAAATAAATAATGGTAATTATTGATATGAGTTATAACTTATCATAAAAGTAAACATCTGGTTTTAGGTGGTCCTGGATCTGGCAAAGGAACCCAGTGTGATAAAATTGTAGCAAAATATGGCTTAACTCATCTTAGCTCGGGTGACTTGTTACGTGCTGAGGTGAAATCCGGATCGCCACGCGGATCGGAGCTCAATAAATTAATGCAAAATGGTGAACTTGTTCCATTGGTGATTTTCCTTTCTTTCATTTTGATGAGATTATTTCACTTCTCAAATTTATTATTCTTCTTAGCTTCCTTCTTTAACTTTATACAAATTGAGAAAATAAATAATTTACAAACTGACTGATCGTTTCTTTGAAATTGAAATATAGGCAAAAAATTTCTCCAAGTATTATTTATGAATGTAGTAGTTAATTCGGCTTTTTTCAGGAAATAGTGTTAGATTTGGTTAAAGAAGCTATGATTGAAGCGATAGCAAAAGGTTCCAAAGGTTTTTTAATCGATGGTTATCCACGAGAAGTGAAACAAGGAGAGCAATTCGAAAATGAAGTTAGTGGTATCCTTTTTCAATGATAAAAACTTGTTTCTGTTCATAATTAGTTTTTGAAAAACTAATGACGAAATCATTTTACGAACGGAAATATAGTTGTCTCAGATGACAAATTCTGTATAAAATGTTGCATCTGTAATTGTAATTTACGGATAACGACAAATGTTATTTTGTTGTTTTATATGATATAATTTAATGTTTATATAAATATTCTAGTTATCTAAGATTGTATGTTAGAAGGGACAAGAAACACTGGCATTTTGCTATAATGTTTAGCAAAAGTATATCAGTGGTATCCTTTTTCAATGATAAAAACTTATTTCTGTTCATAACATAATTTTTTAAAAATTTTAATCTGAAAGATCAATTTCAGATTCAGCCAGCTAAATTGGTGTTATTTTTCGATGTCAGTGAAGATACCTTGGTTAAGCGTTGCTTGCATAGAGCGGAAACAAGGTGGTCTTTTTTTACCTTTTTTCTTTAGTAAAGAGGAAGTTTCTGAATCAGTGGAAAGATCATCTCTCGACTTCCTTAATAACTTTCCTTCTTTTTCACTGGTGCAGTGGACGAGTAGATGATAATATTGATACGATTAAAAAACGACTTCATACCTATATAACTGCAACCGCTCCAGTTGTCGATTACTATGAAAAGCAGGGGAAGTTGATAAAGGTAACATTTTCACTTTTTTTCTTCATTGTGAGTTGTTTAGAAGCTGCTTGTAGTCCATTTAAAGTCTAATCTGAACCTCAAAGTCTAATATGCATTCGTCTGAAGAATTCATTATTTGGAAACTTTTATTCCTTGTATATAAAATTAGTTTGAGATTATAGCATATTTCTTTGTGAATTATTAGCAGTAATTTTTATTAAGTTTTTCCAAATACTTTAACTTCGCAAACCATTTTGCTTGGTGTACTAAACTTGCAAACTTTTTCTTGTCTCATTCACTATTATTGTGTTAAACTGTTTTTTTTTTCTTGAATATAAGCATCTCTACTACTATTGGCTAAGAGCTTTAAAGTTAATTTAAAAGTACTCCAAGTACTAACATAAGCTCCTCGCACATAAAATAAAGGGAAACTAACAAAAATGCAAAATGTATAGTGTCAGGTCTCATTTGCAGATTCCATCAGAAGGAGCAGTGGATGAAATTTTCAAGGTTGTTCAACAACATCTCGATAAGGCTGTAGTTTAATGATTAAATCAGTCGTTCGTACTTGCTTGTACGCAAGTATTGATAACAACGTCGTATGACTTATTTTTGTGGAGTATTTAGAGTGGCTTCTGTTTTTGCTTTTTATTATTCTTATCGTGATTGATCAGGGTTTTGCCAATTATTAGTTTACATTTATATATTTTCATAGTTCTTGTAAATTTGATTACGTTTAATCGTGGATTCTGATGTTTGACGTGGGACTTGAAATATTGAAATAAATTCGCAGCGCAAGCTTCGTCTCCATCTAAAGAAAACCTCACAAGTTGATAAAATCTACAGTACCAGCACAACACATGTCCTTGAAACGTGAATCAAGTCGGTAAAATTATAGTAACATTTGTTGTTAGCGAGAGTCAGCCATTCCGAACTACTGGAAGCTTAACCAGTCTTGAGGAATTTTCTGGGACATTCTAACAATGGCTCTCGTGCATAAGACCGAGAAGATGTTATTATGTCAAAGCGTTTGGTTTTGGATAAATCTGCTAAGCAATTGAGGAAGTTTGCGAATCACGTTGCAAGGAACTGATCTTTTTGGCATTCTTTCCTTTTGCAGAACAAATAGACAATAAACATGTATTTGTAGTAGCAGATATACCCTTTAATAAAGTATAACTAGGATAACACGAATATATACAAGATTATTTCGAAATTTCTCATGGTATCAAACTATAATTTCTATCCTGTCGTCATAGCACAAAAAGAATTTCTTGGATGACTATTTAAAATTAATATTTGTTATAAAAGCTTCATTTTCAATCATTTCGAAGATCTCGAAAAAGGTATAATCCGTTCATAACAAATGACTTGTAATTATATGGATAGAACGAAATCCTTGTTTGTGATTTCCAAATGTCTTTATTCAGTACCTTCGGGATTTACCAAATCCACTCAACGCCATACTTGTCAATTTCCATTGGCGTTGCGTGAGTCGCTTTGTTCTTGAAGCAAATCGCTTTTTGCGATGTCGCTTGACATTAAAATTACCGTTATCAATAGAACTCAGACGCCGATGGGACACTCGCCTCCCACTATAAATTTACTTGTCACTATTGCCTGTAGAAGGTGGGCCTAACTTTAACAATGACAAACAATACAGTGGTGTAGAATAACTAGGTCAAAATGTTTGCTGCCACTAGATGTATTTTCTCAGCAGTAATTATCACTAGGTTTCTCATTGTTTAACCCATAGTCTAATCAGTGAATGGATCAGAATCGAAGTCTCCTGCGACAGATATATATTGGCTCGCATCCGGTCGCATCACTAGCAGGATACGTGCAGGAGCATTTGAGTACTATATTGCGGATAGTACTTACAGATAAATGAAAAAAAAAAAAAAATGAAAAGCTATTCGGTGGCAACTTACCCGACATTTTTGAAAGCAGCAGTTGAACCCAATGTTGATGTACTTTCAGACTGTATTACTGAGAGATGTATTGGTACCAGTTCCACTGAAAGCCTGAAAACGAATGCCACTTGTTATAGATTTAATCCGTTGGTTAAAAAATTGGTTTCTAGATCGCCTTCATGCCAGATTTCTCCAAAAAAATATATACACAAACTTCTGCAAAGAGTGATTTTGATTAATTCAGTCACATATAAGTATATAAATAGATATCAAGAATACAATTCCGTATTCAACAAACAAAATTTAAATATTCTCAATTCGGTACCTGCTATTGCGTTCCTTCATTATTTCCTTCTTGGATGCATCAGTATCTTTGTTTGATTCATGTTTTTCCATTTTCGTAGTTTCAGGAACTGCCTGAATTGAACGCTTGGAAAGTTTAGCAGTGCATGACTCCTTCTGTCCATTCTTTTCAGCAAATAAAATTTTTTGCTCTTCAATAATTTCTAACGTTCTCCTGCAATTTGGAAACAAAATCGATAATTCGAAAAATATTCGAAAACTTTCATTATAATAAAAACCGACAGTTTTTTTGTTTTCTGTCACAAATTTACATTTCAAATATTAGATAGTTAGTTAATTTAGAAGCGACATTCTTGCTAATTTATATTTCACGATCGTCACTATATAACATACTTCATAGCTGTGCTCTTACCACCGCTCGTTCCCGTAACAAACCATTCCTCACTTCCACCAGTTGAACGACTATAAATTGATTTTCTAACACCACTATTTGCAACAATTTTTAAAGCAAGATTTTCTTAGAATAATTCTTTAAAGAAACTGAAATTGAACAAAAAATAAACTAAAATCAGAAATTGAATAATAAACGAAATATAAAAAGCATATTTTGAAAACTTGGCAAAGTGCTTCAAAGATCAAAGACCGTCAGCATGAAATGAAATATTTAGATATTTATTCACCTGATTGTAGAAGACCAATAAGCAAGTAAGAGCATTAGTATAAGGAGAATGAATCCAATAGGAATTAGAGCTATATTCATGAATTCTGTTACTGAATCAAATTTTGGGAATCGTTCATAGCTGCTTACTTTCCACCCAAATTTCCATTCAAATTCCTCGATTGATGCATTGAGAAAGTCTAAATTAATATAAGGAAAAAATAGTTTCTGTTTCAAATTTGACATATCGTATCTCATAGCAAACTGGGAAATCTTTAGTCAGATATTAAGAATTATTGCATTAGCCAGTGAAGATCGAATCAAAGCCATCACTAAATTATTAAACTAATTTTTCAATGGAAACATGCTAGCTAAAACATTAAGCCAAAATTGGTCTTGTTCAGTAAATAGCAAAAAGGTATAAATAGATACATTCGAGGAATCAACCCGTAGTTCCGAACTTTGTTAACAAAGTGTCAATAATTTTAATAACGAAAAGAGATTAAAAATTTAGCATGAAAACATGACGAATACAATTTGTTAAATTTTGGTTTGGTATGGGAAGAATCTTTATTGCTATGGAAATGAAATTTGTTTAAAACTGAACATTCTGAAAAACAAAATTACTTGAGAGGATTTCCTTTGTAAGGAATGGTTTCTTCAAGTTATCCATTGGTACAGCATTTGGCGGTAAAACAATAACAAACCGAAATTGCACAGTACCGTAACTTAGTTTCGGATAACCATCAAGCAAAACGACATAATCCGGTTTAAATGATATTCTGTAGTATATCGACATCCCGAGGATCTCTCACATCAGACAATGTTGGAAATAAGACAAAATGTGGTGAAAGATGGGACATTCAAATCACTAGAACTACTAACAGCATATCGAGAACACTCGTAACCCGCAACACCGAATATACCCTCCAACAAATTGGAGCACAAGGATCAGAGCCTTTGGTTCTTCCTATTCTCCCACAACCCACACTTTCTGGGCAACCCGCAGTGTTACTGAAGTACTCAATAACAAGTGGGTGACGAGCATAGCCCATCAGCGCGAGTGGGTCTTGAAGATTCCGAGAATGGATTAGAAATCTCATCACGTCCTGGCATTCACACTGTAGGGATAGTTAAGTAAAACAAATGCATGTTACAATGGGTAGGTTTTCTTCAAAATTAGGTGGTTAGAGAAATGCAAACTGCACGCCTTTTCTATTTGGAATGATTCGTAGAGACTTCACCGGAAACTCGCTCCTACGGCTCTTAATTGTTATAAATTTTAAAATCAATTGTAATTGTAAAATTTCAGTTTCAACTTCTTGTGTGTTCAATACGTAACAGCAAAGAATACTACACTAAAGTTCATTTAATAATAACAAATTGTAACTGCTAAGAAGATGAAGTAAAATATGAATAAATGAAAATTTTTCATCTTTTTTCCTCAAAAATATAATTTTTTTTTCAATAAAATTTCATCCCATCTGCGAAAAATTTACACTTTTTTTAAGGCTATGAAAAATACAACCAAATAAAACAAAAGAAAAGTGGAAAAAAGAAAAGAATGAAATTAATTATGAAAAGATATGATCAAAGAAATGAAATACTACATTGAAGCAAGTTTGAATGATTTCTTCTGTGATTATTTTCATTATGATTTCTACATGCATTTATTTTAATATCATTTACACTTCAAAATTTTCAATGTTAAAAAAAAAAAAAAAAAAAAACGAACGATTTAACAAGACGGCATGCAGTAGCATTTCGACAAAATTTGTTTAGTGCTTGTATTAATGCTTGTTTAAATGGTTCAACAAGAATTTCGAATGGTGCATCAGTGCAATAAAATATTTGAATCCCTGATGACCAATCCAAAAGCGCCAATTCTGCAAACTTTTTCTTGCCTTCTTAATAAATTATAGCACATGAATTAATTTTATTATAACCATTATTATCATTTCTATTAGATTACATTATACAAAATGATCAACCAGTGACCATTTCAGGGATTATATTTTTATGAAATTCTACAGATAGTTACAAACAAAATGAAAATATTTCAGAGAACAAAATGAGAATATTCGGAGTGAATTAATAATGAGTATTCCTGAGAGAATATTTCGACACTTGAGTAAATAATTCCCACTTTAACCGTGCTTACCTTGATTTGTTGGATCACTAGATTCTGCTACACCGTTTGTTTGAACATTACTTATTATATATATTAAAGCAATAAGAAATATTCGAATTAATTGCCGCACGATCGTCATACAAATTTATTCTAAAGATTAAAATTTGTATTAAATGAAGGTTAGATGCAATATAAAAAGTTCACTTGATATTATCATTAGATAGTAAAATAAAACATCAAATTACTATTAATTTCGCATTTCTTGTAATAACTACTTTATGATTCAAACTAAATTTCACTAATTAAACAAAACAAACTTTTCTAGTAAATTGCGGAATCTTCTAGTAAATCATGAGGTTTTGATTTTGTTCGAATTTAGTTCAAATAAGTTTTAAATTAATTATTGATGATGGTAACTATGATATTCCATGGATAATAATATAATAGACATGAATTAACATATCAATTGTCGCTGTCACTCATTTGAAATGTTTCTGAAATTTCATTTTTTTCTAGAAATTTAAACCATATGATGAGGATATATACAGAATGAATTTGATAATCATAAGCTCATTTAGACACTGAGGTAAATTTATGGACAACATCTAACTTGTTAGCTTATCAGAAGCTTATTCAGTTTATACCAAATAAGTTTTAATCGAAAAGGAGCATAATTAAATTATAAAATGACAAGCGATGGAAAATAATATCATGGCTTCACTTCGAGGCTATTAAATATATAATTACTGGAATACTTGTCTAATATTCATTGACTATTAAATTATCCACACAACCTTATATACTTAATTTAATATTACATTAGCAAAATTTCTACATTTTAAGTAACTTTATGCAAATCTATTTTTAAAAAAGTTAATAATTGCAAGCGAAATCAAAGAAAAATCCAACTACAACAGAATAAATGAGAGTAAAACGTCACAAAAGTTCCGATTACAGTACTTATGACATCACTAGCTATAAGAGAGATGTTCTAATCTTCAGTTCAGCTCATTAAATAATTAAATTAATCATAACTAATATTGGATCGTTTTTTTTATTAAATGATAAAATTCCTTGATTTTAAGAAATAGTTTTAACCAGCTCTAAATCGATCGATTCCATATTTAACTCCTTACTTTTCACAGCTTTTATTTGCTGACTAATTAATAAGTAAGTATAATCGTTGTAAATACAATAATATGATAATGTAATATATATACTGCTTATTGATATGACTAATGCAACGTACGTGTCGCTGGTAATTGTTTATATTATTCTTACTACAACAATAAAACCGCATTGATAGAAATTAATTTTTTTGTTTCCTACCTTTTAATAAAAGAAAACGAAAACTTAAAATTCGCTTCAATTTTTTTAAAAATCACTTTGTGTAAAATATTGGAAAAATTAATTAGATTTTTTTCAAGTGATTACTTCAAATTATATTTAAATTATTTTAAATTATCCCAAATTACAAACTTTTGCTTCACAGCTGTATTTCTACCCTCTTACCCTTTTAATTTGACATCTTAATTAATCAAATTCTTTTTTTCACATAAAAAAATAATTTAAATAAAATACATGGATATATAATTTGATCAAAAAGGAAAAAAAAATGATAAGCAAACTTAAATATATTGTATTCACGGAGATATATGTTAAGCTATTGAATGACAACAAAGCTTGTGTTGGTTCTATTATCTAAAAATATAATCAACAGAAAAAAAATTTTTTGCTATTTTTTCTTATTAAAAAAAAAATTCTTTTAAATCACTCACTGTAATTAATTTCTGCTATTAAAACATTTTTATTATAATAAAATGATATAAAATGAAAATGACATGTTTATTATAAAATGATTTATTAACCAAATTATATTTTTTTTTTTAAAGAAGAATGAAAAAAATTTACCGTCTTACTTTTTTAAGTTTTATGAAAAAAATTTTGCACAATTTTTAAATTTAAATGAATTTTACAATGTTATATTTGAAAGAAGAAAAGCGACAGTGAATTAATAAAGAAGATTGGAATTTCTTCAAAATTTTCATGTATTATTAAAGTCTTCCATTGCTACTAATCATATTGTTAGTCCAAAATTTCAATTATCATATGGTGCCAAAAAAAAAAAAAAATGATCTTGCAACATTTTTAGAAAAATTTATTTCAAAATGAAATTGCATATGAATAATTTGAGCTTTAAAACATTAATATTCAATAAGAGAAATGAATAATAGGAAGAAAGTTTCGAAAGAAAACAAATTTTATATTGTCATAATTATGATGAATGTAGCGAATGGCGGAAAGTTCGAAGGACATATGTTCCACTTGGATTTTTCTTTTTTTTGTGTTAAATATTTTCAGTGAATTGATTACACAACGGCATAATCATTTAACTGCTATGCAGCACCAGATAATTTTTTTAACAATAGAAAATGAAATTTGCAAAATATCTTGGGATACGACCTTTTTATTATTTAAGTGCTACAAATTATTGTTATTTATTTATTTATTATTAATCTTCTTTTTTGCTGAAAAATTAATTTTTTATAGTGATATGATTTAATTTTTTTTTTCTTTCTATAAATATAATTTTGGCCTAATTTTATGTGTTGCTTAGCAACTACGAGTAATTTATAATATTGAAATTGAGATATGTTATTTGAATTTCTAATGAAAATTAAACAATATATGACATTAAATGCTATTTGAAAACATAACCAACAAGATGAGTTAATATGAAAATTCTTTCGGAAGAACCAAATTCATTCCAATACTCTGATGTAGTTCATGAATAGTTTTACAAATTTTAACTTGTAAAATTTACAAGGCAATGATATAGGATAAGTTAATGATAAGAAACAAACTGTAGGATATATTGAAACGCTCTAACTTTAGCAAAATTATCATTTTTCAAACATTAATAGCAAAATAAGTCTGAAATAAACTTTTCAAAAAATTCGAATTTGCACATATTTCAATAAAAATTTTCAGTTGCACTACCAATTATATTATATAAATTAATTACACATTTGTGTTGAAAAAAACAAATTTAAAAAGAAAGAATAAAACAATATACATTGAGGTGAATAGCAAAGGCTGAAAGGAAAAATAAATTTAAAAAGCTTTTTTTTTAAAAAAAAAAATAAAGTTAAGGAAACACCAGTTCATTCATTTTTCTTTTCTTTATTTCTCTGTCTACACTTAATTCATCAATTTCTTTTCAAACTACAGCTGTCATTTATTGCATTAATTCTTTTTCTCTCTTTTTTTTTTGCTTCCTTTTTCTTTCTTGCTACCTGCTTTCGCTTTTTTTTCTCTTTTTTTCCTTTTTTTTTGTACTGAAAATTCTTAAAATATTACATAAATATGTATCATTTATTTATGAAACTTTTTATGCAACAGATAGTAAAATTGCGTCTGAAACTCACATACGATCTTTTCATCATTGCTATTTCATTTTGGAAATAATTCACACTTATGTGATAGTTGTAATGATTAAACTGAGAAAATTAACAAAAAAAAATTTCATTAAAAAAAAATGCTATATTTAACAAATAAATAAAAAACAACAACAAACATAAATGCGAGAAATATATTTTGAAGAAGTGATAAGGAATAGTTTTTCATTTGTTCCACTTAACCCAATTTCTTACTATAGGTAATTAAATTTGAAATCAGAATGATAACACTTAGAATTTATATGCGATCTTTTCGTCATAGTTAACTTTTTTTTTTTTTTTAATACAAGTTTTTGTCAACATAACAAAATGTTTTTTCATTTTTTTGTTATTTTAAATAATTTGCTAAAAAGTCCTGAAAAAAAAGGAGAAACTAGGAAAAGTTCAAAAGAGAGAAAGGATGAAAAAATGTTCGAAACTTATAAACGATCACTTCATTAATAACTATTTCGCACCAAGAATAATTCATAATTGTGTAATAGTTCATAACTTAGTATATAATATGCAAATAAAAATTATTAACATATATGTTAGATTTAACTTTTAACAAAACAAACAAAACACTAAAAAAGAAACTGCAAATTGAGCTATTAGAGATATAAATTTAAGAAACGATAAAAAGGAAAATTTAAAAAGTTTTTGTATGTTTCAGTCAATCTAGTTCTATATTGTTTTAAAAAAACTTTTGTTTTAAAAAAAAATTTAAAAAAAGAAAAGAATAAAACGAAATTCAAAATTGAAATTTATATATACGGTCATTTCATTATCTCTTTTCGAGCAACAGTTTAATTTCCTGATAGTTTCATAGTTAGTTTATAAGAATTTTATAAGAAAGAACAAAGAAAAAAAAAATTTTTTTTTAAATAACTGTTAAATTTAACTTTTATCTAAGGAACAGAGAAAGAAAAAAGAAAAGTGAAACAACTACTTACATAAGAAAAGCAATTTTAGAAAACGACAAACACGAAAAATAACTGCTTTTTCATTTGTTCCAGCTAATCTAATCTAATTTTCTGTTGCTTAAATGATTCACTAACTGGAAACTTCTAAAAATTAGGAAAAAAAAAATCTTAAAAAGAGATTCCGCTAAAAAGTGTCGTCACTGCAATTAATTCTGTGATAAAGATTAGTTTCCATCTTTTTTGGCTCTTGCTTTTTGAAAAAGGAATTAGAGTTTCAAGAATTTTTACTTAATAACAAATATAATTAAGAACAATTTTAAAAAGAAGTAAACGACTTAAAAGCGTTAGAAAATAACGGATAAAAGAGAAATAAACAATCAATAAACTTAAAAAAACAAACAAAAATCGCATCATAACAATAAGTAATTCAGATATTTATTCAAATTTAACAAATAAGGAAAAAAAACTTCCAGCTGCGCAACCTCCAAATAGAACACTTTATATAATATATTTTGATGCTTATCTGAAAACAACAACAAAAAGAAAAAAATGTCAATAAAAAGTGACATTTTTAGATTCTAAACTGTTGATGTACCTTAACTTACGTTGGATGTGAAGCGGAATTAAAATCTCTCATGGAATTAAAATAAATTGAATAAGTGGCAAAGCGAAAGAAAAGACCATTTCACGAAGAAATGTGTTAATTTTAATAATGGCCATACCATTCTGGTCTAATTTAGTCTCAGAAGTAGTACTAATATGTGAAAGAAATGACTGATAAGAAGCGATGAGTGATAACTAAGAATGAAAAGATTTAAAAGAGTTGGTTAGTGACACCTCATCAGCATCACCATCACCACTATCTGACGGAATAGTCTGTTGATTATCACATTGATTTGAAGATCCCGGCAATTCAGCATCATTAATTTGATCATCATTTGAAGCTAAAAATGCAACAATTTGAAATCAATTTTAAAATTCAAATGTTTAAATTCGATCCACTTTTCCTATTGTTATAAAAAATGAAATTTAAACAAAAGTAAAGCACTCATCCTCAATGTATAAGTTTGACCTCAAAGAAATTATATCGTTGAAATATCAGGAAAAGCTACAGAAAAACTTGGACGAAATAAAATTGTTTTTATATTTTCTTGATTTCTGCTAAACTACTCTACAAAATTATACTATAAATCTCTCAAAAAATAAAAAGGAAAAAATTCGCATTCGAAATTTAATCACACAGAGGTAAACAAAAAAAATATCCGGAACTTACACGCAATCAGAAATGCGGAATTGTGTATTTGTTTACCGAGAATGTTCTCATGAAGTGTGTTCTGATTGCTGATCTGCTAGAAAAACAAAACGAAAATAATACATATTGAAAGAAGAGGAAATAAACGGAAATTATTTTAATATGAAAGGAAGGAGAAAAAAAAAACTTTTTTTTCATTCATTCATCTTCTGGTGTTTTTTTTCCTGAAATTTTAAAAATCTTAAGAATTTAATATAGTCATAAAACAAATAACATTTCGCAAAATTCAAAAATTTATCCAAAGACTATGACTTACTTAGGATTTTTGTTTCTTTTTTTTTTCTTTTTTTTACAATATTCTTTTTCAACTTCAACATTTTACCTACAAAGCGGCAAATCCTACAAAAGTCAAACATTTGTTCAACAAAAAAAGAAAAAAGAAAAATAATACATATCGTGTTTTATATTTTTTGCTTATACACTTAATCCATCTAATTGCAGAAATGCTGTCTTTCCTTGAAATGCAATTCTAAGGAATTTCTGGAAAAATATAAAATGTAACTTTTAATCATTAATTATGTTGATTATTATGAAAAATGCCAAATATAAAACAAAAAAAAAACCTTTTAACTAACAATTTTGAAGAACATTATATGAGAAAAAAAAAGTCCGCTTTTAATTATTATTTTTAAATAATGAAAAATAAAAACGACTATCAGCTTTATGCGAAATCCCTCGTAACAAATAGACAAACAGAGAGGGACAGGAAGAGAGAAAGGGAAAAAAAAAAGAAGAAGGGAAATCAATTACATTGATATTCACAAGCATACACACAATCTTATTATGAAATTCCACAACATGATCAATAGAATGGCGAACAACTTTTTCCAGTTTTTGAGTTTGCTTTTTGAGTAGCGCTGTTTGATTTGCAACCATTCCATGTTACTGTAGCTTTATTAGACTAATTTTTTGTTTTTGAATTTTCCAATTTGTTTCATACACTTTCAATTCTTGATGTTGTGAAAGAAGAACTGCTTTAGTGCTATCAAATGCTTCCTCTAAATCTTTCTTCGCTATTTTTGCTCTTCGATTTTTTTTTTCTTCCAAAATTTGCACAAATTAGCATATCAATGTGTCTCTTTTTTGTGCAAGAGAAATACGATTTTATTCAACAATTTCAATTAATGATATTATTTCAATCTCAATTAATTCTTTTATCTTTTGTAACTTCTCGCAATGTTTTGTATTTTGCCATTTAACTTGATTCATTTCTGCTTCAATTATATTATGAACTTCTTGAATGTCGATCAGCTCAGAATGCACATCTACAAATTGTGAATGTAATTTCTCACTTTCCTTGAGAAGTTTAACAGCTCTATTGTTCGTCTCTTGAATTTGTCGATAAGCTAAAGATGTTGCTCTGCTGTGTATCGTTAAACATCTTTTAGAATCATTACATAATCGCTCTTTCTCTTCCAATTTCAATTTCAATTGCTGAACTGTAGATTTTAGTATTTCCATATTGTTTGTTTGTTCAGTGGAACGTGTAACTTCCACTTCATATTTTTCCATTAATTCTCGAAGCTTTCTTTCAGCGATACGTTTTGCATGTAAAACATTCTTTGTCGTAAAATTCACATATGATTTTTCTTTGCAGTTTTTTTCTGGCTTGACTTAACATTTGCATCATCTGCTCAAAATTCTCTTCTAGACGACTCGTATTTCTTCGTTCGCGTTCGTTTTCCGCTTCTAGATGAAATAATTGTTGGGTACAATGAATAAGTTGTTGCTCTAACTGGTAAAAACTTTCTTGAAAGGTGGCGTTCAATTTCTGAAATGCAAACGAGAAAATATTGCCATAAAAGTATAAATGATATGTTTGCCTAGATATCAGTTGAGTAAGTTTTTGGAACGAGAAAAAAAGAAAAAGGATATTAATGGTAAAGGTAAAAAATGGAAATATGGCAATTAATTCAACAAGACATTGATAAGTAGCAAGATAATAATTACTTATTCTAAGGATATTTAAATTTATTCTCAAAATTAAATGTTTGCAAAATCTTTATGCTTTGTTTTTTCCTTTTCTTTTAATCCAATATCAGTTACAGTACTTTTACAATGTCCTGTTGAACTAACAGCAATAATTTCTAATACTTAGAGGTAAACATGCCATAAATACATCGCCAACGATACATCAGAAGATATCATATTGGAGAGATTCTGCTCACAAAGTAATGACATAATTTGTTTTTAATTTCAGTTGAATCGATTAAATTGGCTGAATTAAGTCAAGTGACTTTATTCCAATACCAATATAGTTATCAATTTCATTTATCGATACATAATAAAATGCTCTTCCCTTCTAGCACCCCTCCTCTCACCTAATTTATATCACTTAGAAAACGTTAGAATGAATTAATGTTCAGTTCTACTTTTAAAACTAAATGCCAGAATAAATTAATGACATTTTCATAAATTTGCTCCCCTTCTATCTTGATTTTAAATTTCATAACAATTTTGCATATTCAAATAATCTTAACACATTCCCAACTTACTTTCGTATCAGTTATTTCCTGTTTATATCTTTTACACTTCTCTCTCATTGCTCTTTGCTTCGTACGATGTCTCATATTTTCCGCTAACCGTAACGATTGTTGACATTTCAAAAGTGTTCTATATTCCATCATTTGTTGTCTAATATGCTTCACTTTAGTACTTTGTATTTCCGTATCTTCCGGAACATTCTGTTCTCTCAAATCCTCTGGATTATTCCATCTTCTAGGAATCTCTGGAGGTTGACTTCGCGAAACACTGTGCACTGTACGAACATTTCGATTCGAAAACGATGACATATTTTCTGATCTAAGATAGGGATGGAAATTGGAGATGAAACCTGAAACCGATCTGAAAAAACTATCGTAAATTATAAAATACAATATTGTAATCGTATTTTCCGCTTACCATAAAATAAGATTAAATATGCTTTTTTCCCTTTGTTATAATAATATCGATTCTTTATCATAAGTACATTTAACATAAATCAAAATTTGCTTCTCTTTTCTCCTTCACTCATTCTGAAAAAATTTCAAATTATTATAAATCAAATCATTCAAATAATTACAAATAACTTCTTCAATTAACTCTTAAGTTTATTAAAGCTAAGATTTAAGTGAATTTAATAACAAGAAATGCCTGAAGAACTTCCACCACTTTTGAACCATTCAGCGCAAAAGATAAGATGATATCATTAAACGAGGATTGGATGAATTGTGATAGGGCTTAGGTGAACTTCATTCATTCTATTTGTCATAATCCTGACTGCATCTTTTTGACTTGAAAAACAACAAAATAGCTAAAAATTCCGTACTACTGTTTTGAAAGTATAACTCAGTGATATATTTTCTGTGTTAATGAATGTTCTTGCTGCCATTCCAATACCCTCTTTTGTCATCGCAGTTGGGATTCAATACACTTATTGGTGAAAGCAGTAACAAAAAAAAACTTCTGGTATGGTATTCAAGTCAATAAGTACAAAGTTTAGATTGCATCCGTAATGGTTATCCCAAATCTCTCCTATCACTTCTCATCTCTATCGATTTGCTTACCTTCGTTATAGTCACTGCCTCCAATGCTTTCCCAACAACTCCTTCCCGAATTCTTCCTCAATATTTTTGGAAGCCCTTTTTTCTCAAAATCGGTCTTTTTCTCAATCCATTTTTGAATCCTTCTTGCAGTCCATTTCTCAACTCTTTCTTATCGCCAACATTTTCAGTACTCTATTGACTTATCCAGTTCTTCTCCCCGAACTATCCCGTTAATCCTTTTCTTGACCCATTTTCCGAATATTGTCCGAAATTCGTCCCTTCAATTTCCTTTCATTTTCCGAAACTTCCTCAAGTATCTCCTCATTAACTTCCGGGATAAGTAATTTTTGTCCTCCGTTTCTTGAATACCTTTTCGGTCCACTCTTGCAATTCCCCTATCAGTCACACTCTCGACTTATTCCGCCTATCTTTTTCGCACTACATGCCTCAAATTCTCCTTCTGATTCATCTTCCGGAGGCCTATTTCGATCGCTCTAAACTAATTTCACCTCTCATGCATACAAACTCCCAGCATCAACCAAAAACGCCAACTTGAATCCACCAACCTACGTGAAGTCCACAGCCTCACAACCATTTCCCATCAATCATTGTTACAAAAATGAGTGGAAAGGGAGTGGTCAGCATGGACAAAACTGCCACTACCAAAATTTGCATATCCTTCAAAGTTATTATTAACTCCTCCCAAGCCGTATGCAAATTTTCTTATATCATTTTTCGTCCTTTCTTTGCTTTCGAAAATATCTGACAATGCCACGCAATCCTAAATTCATCCCGGAACTGTTACAGAATGTCAAATTTCCCCCGAATTGCAACAACAATTTTTTTCCAACATATAGTACATTACCAAATTTTTCAGAGTTACTGTATAATCCCCAAATTTAGTCTGAAAATTCCACATATCTCTAAATTATTTCGCGGGTAAAGTTACAAAACCCCATATTTAAGAATCATTGTTTCCGAAGTTATTGTCAAGTTCAGAGTTAATGTATAATCCAAGATTTAGTCTCAAAGTTCTATATATTTTTAAATTTTCTCCAAGGACAAACCACAAAACTCTAGATTTAGGGACCATTTCCTGACATAAGAGTGTCAAATTCTATCCAGGATTACTATATTCCCAAATTTAACCCGAACATTACCAAATGTTCTGTCCAGATACACCATGCAATGAATGGCAAGAGCTCACAGGCCTAGGGATTGAAAGATATGATAAGTCGTGATATGATTTAGTTTACCCTGCTGAAACGTCTCCTAAGACTTTATCCCATTTACCAGCCTGTTAATTACGTACTGTATGCTTCCCTTACATTTAATATCCTCGATAACTTTGACTCGGAACTTGAATCTAAGTTTATGGTAGTACAGGCTTACTCTCCGGAGATATTTCATTTTCTTATTTTATGCTCCTATTCATAGCACAAAATGTAAAAATACTTTACTGCTAGTGAAATTGAATTAAATTACAATAATAAGCTGAAAATTAGAAGGATAAAATTCGTTTTTGGTTTAAATGATTCATCCATGATTATAAGTCTAAAATTACTTCAGAACTGCATTAATAGGTAACTTTAGACCAAACACCAAATGTAAGTTATTCGTTGGTTGTATTAAACCGCTCAACATATTATTTCCATTGTTTATTTAAATCATTCACAATAGAAGTCAAAAAAAAAGAAAGTGGCAATCGGAAAACTGGATTACAGTAAAGTCTCTACTTATCATAGGAATTACAAGAAATAACAGACAGTCGTGATCCTAGGTACTATAAGTAAGATAGCAAATTGATTTGAATGAAAAAGATCTAAAAATTCGGTTGAATCAGAAAGAAATTGAAAATCAAAAAGGAAAATTAGCTATTTGAAAATTTCAATCCTCCCACAGCATTTGTATTTCAAACATAATCTTTATAGTGTTTTTCAAAAGTTCTTAAATCAATATTATATCAAGAGTTATCTAAATCGAAACATAATATTCCACGTAATATATATTTTCATTATCGGTGTTTTATACTTTTTTTTAGTTTCATATAATTGCAATACTACTAGAAATTAACAATATCCAATTTGAATGATCGTGTATTTTTGCAGGATTTACATTAATATCTTTTTCAGCAATTACCTGCAGTCTTCCTCAATCATTATTTCTCCAATATGAGCAGTAATAGTTCATTATTTAATATTAATTTCACTACCTATAGAAGTTCCAGTGATATTTCATTTTTCCGCTCCTATTTAAATTGCTTCTAGCTAACAAAGAAATTTATTGAAAACATATTTTTCCAGTTTTCTAATATCAGTTTAATTAATTTTGTATCTTGGAAGAATAAGTCCACTGAAGCATATTCTCTTCAAAAGTTTTTGTTGAGAAGTTACTAAATTTAATTCACTTTCATACTGTAAAACAAAATATTTACTCAACTTTGAATATTTATTCAACTTATATTGATAAATGTAACAATTTATATTGATAAATTTAAATCCATACTAACAGATAGCAATTCATAAGTGCTCAAAACAGAAAAATGGAAAAATCAATCAAAGTTCAGTTGTAAATGATATATAAAGAGACGGTTGAATGGTTCCAGAACATAAAAGTACTTCTGAGTAAAGCGTAAGTAATAAAAAATGGATAGCCTGTTCTTATGTCATTACTCATTCTCAATAGATGATAGAATTTGAAATAACGAGAATGATAATAGCATTAGATAGAAGGTGATATAAAAGATTTAAAAAAGATAGACCTCAAAAAACAGAGCTTAGTATTTAAAGTTTCATTTTCATTCTTCATACCATTTCAGATCTAATACTTTTTGCAAGAAACAGTACATATCCACAATTTCGGCAATCTGAAATTAGTAATACTATGCGGTATTCTTTGCATTCTTTCTTAATAAACAATGTGAGATCACTGTCTATTTCTTCTGATCTTTATCTTCTTTACTACAATTTTGTTCTGTATGAAAACATTGCACTTCAAAAGAATATATATATATATATATATATATGTAACTGAAGAAACTACGAAGTCGTTAATATTTCAGATTTATGTGTGAAATGCGTTAAGCGCTTTCATCGTCAAAGTGATAAGAAAGGAATAACTTACAAGTTTGCTAGTAGGCTTGCCAGCTCCATGACCAGCTTTTACATCTACTCGTATGATGAGCGGCTTTTTCTGGAAGCTATTTGCTGATTGAGCAGCTTCGTATAGCCTTGCCATATATTTTAACGAATGTGAAGGTACTACACGGTCATCATGATCAGCTGTCATAAGCATGGTAGATGGCCACTGATAGCCTTTATTCGGAATTTCAATATTGTGAAGTGGAGAATATCTAGAATTAAACATGAAATACAACATTCTTCTATATTAAGAGAAATGCACGATTAAAGGAGATTCATATAAGGGCATAACTCTTAACTTTTGAAATGGAAAAGCAAATAATTTCGCCAGTATCATAATTTAAGAAAAAAATCGATATCTAATTTCACGATTGTAATATCAAAATGAAATTTTAGCATATGTTTAAAGATAAGACTTGAGTAAAAATAATGCAGAAAGAAGTAAACTTAGGTAAATGAAAAAAAAAAAAAAGAAAAAGAGGTATTTGGACTAGGAGAAATTTGTGTTACGCACTTGTAAATGTATTCAAAATCGGATGCTTCGTCAGGATTGCCATATTCTGGTATCCATGCATTACCAATAGTAAATTTGTGGTACCGCAACATATCAAGCACTCTTAAGAACTATTTACATAGTAAAAACAAATAATAATAACAATAACATAAACAAAGCAGGAACAACAAGAAACTAATAATGCAATCTATAAACTTTCCATGTTTTCTTAAAAGTCATCTAGCTATTTTGCTTCAGCTATAACTAAACAATTCTATATACCTTTCAAACAATGCATCAAAACGACGGATATCTACTTTGCATTTTCTTTTAATCTGTGAAAATGAATAATATGAATAATGTTTCCCCATATAACATACTTCGTTACATCAATTTCGGACTTAAAATTACGAGAACATATTATTCTATTTGTTGAAGTATAGCAGAAAAAAAAAAAGACTAGCATACCCGACTTCATTCACAACAGCACCAAAAAGTTCTGGACGTTGTTGCGAAACTGCACCAACCAGTAAGCCACCATTTGAACCACCACGTATAGCTAATCTAAAATAAAATTTCGGAAATTTAAGAAATAAAAACAGGATATTAAACTCGACAAAAACACTATAAACACCATAAGCTTTTTTTTTTATTTTTTATTTTTTTTTTTCAAGAAGTCATTAATTGATCTCACTGTTTTTTCCAGGATTCATGCAAGAACAAAATGAATTTTATCAACTGGTTTTTACCTTTTTGGTGATGTGTAATTATTCTTGATAAGATATTCAGCAGCGGCTATAAAATCATCAAAAACATTTTGTTTTTGTTCTCGCATCCCACCTTCATGCCATTTTTCACCATATTCACTAAAGGTATGGTGTTTTAGTCAGCGTAATTCTACAGCGACAACACTAATTTAATCTTAACATTTCAACCAGTAGCAAGGTAATTTTTACATTATTTCAGAGATAAAGAATAGTCGCATTCATGAAGTAGGTAAAATATGCGAATCCAACCTAGTCATTCTTACAGATGAAAATTTGAAGCAACCAATGCAACTTTGAATATGAATTTTGTGCAGTTTGTTCTCTTTTTAAAACTGTGATAGTTTCATGCTAGCAACAAAAATTTAATTTTGTCGTATGAATAAGAAACTTAAGATTTAATAAAACATGATATTTGATGACTTCAAAAATAAATATTTGACATCTCGAAACAATTAAAACTACGGATAAATCACTAAATGTTATAGATATAAAATAAATGATATAAGAATGAAGCGTTGTGCAAATCTGAAATTAGATTTACCTTCCACCACGTAAATTAGCCAATGCAAAGACACCCTTGAAGTTATCCAGGAATAAAATACGTGAAACAGAGAAATGTGGCATTTCAGCAATATTAAATCCACCATATCCATTAAGCAAAGCTGGAGTATCTCCATTCAGAATTAAGTTTTTGTTGTGAACAATATAAAGTGGTACCTTAAAAAAGCTTTTCTCATTTATTTCATATTTTTCACTTCTGATAGATCACTATCACCAGACTATTGCTATTTTTAGGGCTCCTATTTAGGTTTTAGGGCCCCTATTGTATCAATAATTGTTATCACCATCTGAATAGTCATGATTGTCGCATGCTGATAAATCTACAGCATTTTTTCAAATTAACATTTCTAGTTTGTAGTCCATTCAAAATTAATAGGCCAACCTTTGTCCCATCTTTGCTTTTACAAAAAACTTGTTTTATTTTGAATTTGCTTGTATCTACGCCTTTTACGTGGGTTCGCCGAATTTCCTGGAAATTACATCTTCTTTTTTGTACAACTTTTTTTACGAAAGCAAACGTTAATTTTTCTTTGAACGTAAGACCCGTCATGAAATCCAGATCTTCGCATCATATCATAAATATAATAGTAGTAAATAAAAGAACATAGAAGAAAACTGAACCGTTTAAACCATC